CAGTTTGTAATGTAATGCTCTGTGGAGACCACAGAGAACCAGCTGAGTACCAGTCAAGACTTGATGCCTCCTGTTGTTTTAACATACCTCATTTCAAGTCCTAGTAGTGTATCAGTTGAACAATAAATTGCTTGTAACAGATGAACACTTAAAGAGGCTGTCTAAAAATCTTGACAGTATTTTTTTTTTTTTTTTTTTTTTTTTTTTTTTTTTAATTAATAAAAAAGATGGGGCCTCTGGTGGTCTAGTGGTTAGGGTGCAGGACTCTCACTGCTGCGACCCGGGTTCGATTCCCAGCCCCCCGGGCAGATGGAGCTCGTCAGCCCTGTAAGGCAATCCATCTAAGAGAAGGTCACTCTAAACAAACCTACGTCCTGGGGACCTCACTGCCACTGTCCAAGCTTGCTCGGCCCCGGCAGATGAACCTCAGGATTAAAGGGTGGGCTCAGTTCAGCGCACGCTGGGTCTCACCTAAAAAATCCACTGCGCAGGCTCAAAGGGTTAATGACCTTTCCCAAATCTTCGCTCGCGAAGACTGGCCATTATTATTATTATTATTATTATAATAAAAAAGATACTGAGTGCATTTTCTCTTGGTTACAGGGATATCTCAGTGAAGACCAGTTAAAAGCTTTGAGTGCTTACAGGCAGTTGATGAATGACAAAAAGCAAACTCAGATGCAAGAAGAATTCAAGAAGGCTTTAGAGTCAGCAGAACAGGAAGAAAATGGTTGTTCCAAAAGAGATGTGTCTGCTGTATGGAAATTATGTGTGGTAGACTACAGAAAGCAAGAAAAATATAAAGGTTAGTACTTGAAAAATTATAAATAACTTTTAACTAAACATGGTAACTGGCCAACGTAGATAGAATTGAAAAGTTTCCCAGCAGTATTCTAGCCTGCATGTTAATATTCCCAGTTTCGTTTAGGGCTTTGGGGTGGAGGGAGTGTTGTGGATTTATTTTGTTTAGAAGCCTTCGATTTAGTATTGCACAGCTAATATATCTTATTCTGATACTGGTAGGAGTGATACTGAGTATCTGGCGTCCACTGCTGGATATTTGTTCATTGCTAAAGGAGGGCAGTCGGTACAGAATCTACCAGCTGTCAGCATCACAGTCCAAAGGAAGGGCAGACTCAACTAACATACAATTAACAGCAACAAAGAAAACTCAGTATCTGCAGCTATCAGTAAGTGCTTTAAGTGCATAAAGATGTGTCATTAAAGTGTATCATGGTCTATATGTGTGGTAAACACTGAAGTTTTGTGTTTCTTAAGGTATCACAGGAGATGCTGGTGCAGATTTTCTTTCCAAGAAAGGCTCTAAAATTCACCAGTTTGTTGGATCCTTCTTTTCAGCCACCATGTGCTGAAGTCGATTTAGTCGGAGTTGTAGTTTCTGTTAGCAGAACAGGTACGTTGTGGACCACATTCATGTCTTCCCATTGAATAAGCACTGAATTCTTTATTTCAGAAGTCAAAGTTATCTTGGTATTGTACCTGCACCTCAGGCCTGTGAAAACCTGTGAAAACCTGTGAAAACCATGACATACTGGCAGATAATTCTGTTTTCCTAAAGCAAAACTGTCTCTGCTTATTAGCTCAGGAAGTTAGTAAGGCGGGATCTAAGCTCAAGAACAGCTTGCCTTTATTTTTTCTATAAATGGTGGATGTGAGTTCTCGCATTTGTGCTCAGCATCTGCGGCAGTGCCACCGTGCGTGTATGTGAGCTCCCTCTTTTGTGTACAGTGTCATGGAATGAGTGGAACACAGGGACTGGAGCTCATGGGTGGGAACATATGGATAATCTTCTGAATAAAAAGGAAAAGCACCATAGGAGTATTGTTTTTTAGCCACTGCAACACAGATTTTAAGTTGTTTTCTGTAATCAGTAGGGAGCTGTTGTAGAGTATGGGTGAAGCATGCAGACAAGCTGCCATGTAACATTTATCATTTCTCTTTCAAGATGTGTAGGACCTTTTTTTATAGCTACAAATTGTGGTAATCAACGTTTACTTAAGGATGCAAAGGTTTAATTCAAACCTTTTTCTTGCTTTTAGGTTTCACTACTATGGTATACTTATCTGATGAAAGCTGTAATTTCGTGGCAGTAAAGATCTGGACAGATCTCAGACACCTTGCTATTGAAGATATAGTTGTCTGCTGCTCACTCGTTTCTGCAAGCAACCTTCAGTGGCAATCTGAATTTAGATCAGAAATTCCTGTGCTGTTGGCTGGAGATCTTTCTGTGTTCTCAGCCAGTCCAAAGGAAAACTATCTTCAAGAGAAGCTTAATGAACTGAGAAGTATGATCGAGGTAAATATGTAGATGTTTAGTTTGATGATTAGTTTTAGTTACTGCTGTGTTACATACTTCACCAGAAAGTCTGTTAGTACTAATAAATCTTTAAAAGAAGTAATACACAGAGGGCTGAATTTGAGGGGATTTTCTGGGAGATGGAGTAAGGTGTTAATGCAGTTTTCCTGGAGGACTCTCCATACGACCTATTGAATGTCTTTTTCTTTTTTTTTTTTTAAATTCAGTTCAACCAACACCGTCTTTTGCTCTGGCTGGCAAAGCATCTTATATCTGTCAGTAGTGAATCTGTCATGCACGGTTTGGCCTCTAGCCTTTTAAAAGCTGAAATTTACTCTCTTGCTCAGTGGAGTTTATTCAGTATTGGATTGTTGATTTCATTTATTTATTTTTTATTTCAGTTTTCTAGCAGTGCTAAATACCTTGTCCTGGTCATGCATTCCCATTTCTTACTGAAAAATAAGTTTAAATACAAAAGAATTTTTTTCTTCTTCTTCTTGCTCACAATAAAAGGTAGTTTTATTTCCCTCCACAGAAAGTGCAGCAGTCTTTTAAGTTGTTGGTTTGATATAAAATAAAATTCTAGTGGGATTATGATGAGAAAAGAAAGTCCTAAATACTTTGTGAGCATATCGTACTTAAACAATTTGAAAAACAACTATTCTGCATTGCAAACTGTTCTCCTTTGCAGAATGTGGCCTCCTTTTGCTCTGATGCAGAAAGTAAATTGGTGAATTTGCTACAAAGAAATCTCTTGCGTACACCCAGTTTAACTAAAAGATCCAGCTTGGAAAGCCCCTCTCCTTCCTGTAACTTTGCAGAGGATAAAAGTTTGGTAAGCTTCTGTTAATTAATACTGTGTTTGTGCTGGCAGTGCATGCAGTGAGGACAGAAGTAAGTTCTGTACTGATGGTTGTGGTCAATGGTCCCACTTCTCAGTCCACTCCAGCCATTCTCTTCAGGGCAATGCAAACTGATTAGACGCTTTCTCTGTGCGGGTTTACTGTTATTCCCCAGGAGGAACTGAAAGACCATTCTTCCTCCCAGCAGTACATGAAAACTTCCCCTTATGGCTTATGTTTCCACAGCATACTTAAATATTCTAAATTTTATGTGAGTAAATGAATCATTATTTCTCAGTAGATAACTTATCATTTCCTTGGTCACACTGTGAAGATTACCTGATGTGAATGTCACTGGAAGAAAAAATCTTGATCTGTAAATTCTTCTTTTATGGCATTCTGCAGTTCCTATTTTTGTTGAGAGAATTTACTTCCTGGTCTTTTAACTAGATATTGTTTACTATTTCCAGGATTTAAAGGGGAAGAGGTATCACCTAGTAAATGTTTACATTTTATAGCAGTCTTGACAAAAATTGTTTTAAATAGTACTCAAGTTTCCCATGAAAGCTGCTGGAGGCAAGTTGTTTCTGATGTGGAGTACTGAGCAGTCAGAACAAAAACTTTCCCTGCCACTAGTTGCGATGGAGGGGGAAACACCCTGATGTGATTTCAGTTCCTGGGGACTAAATTTATGCTTATAAACCTAACCCTTTTCCATTTCAGAGGGAGTGCTAATACTTAATTCTGAAGGTTTAGTTTCTATTTGTTTATCAGATATATTAGCCAATTTAAAACAAATGAGACATGAAAAGTATTTTCAAGTTAGATGTGTGTTTGAATGATTTGCTGTGTAGCATCTGTCTTGTGTGTTTTGTTATCTTCAAGTTTTTTTATATCAGGATTTTTTTTCCCATTTTGTGGAAGTAATTGAGGAAGCTAATGAAATGGAACATTCTATTCAACATCAAACTTCTCTCTTTTTAACTAGATCTCTACTAGAATCAAAATTAAGCATCCAAGCCCTTTGTCAACTATCACACCGTATATGAAACTTGTCACACCAGGGTCAGCAAAAACACCTTCACCTGCTACAGTTAGTGAAGAACATCTCAAAAACACCAGAAAGAGAAAAGCTATGGACTTCCTCAGTTGCATACCTGCCCCTCCACCACTGACACCAATATGTTCAGTAATTTCTCCATCTGTTAAAAAAGCATTCCAGCCCCCACGAAGTTTGGGTTTACAGTGTAGCAAGTCATCAAAAGAGACAGATCAGAATATTGGTCGTGTCATGCCCTGTAGAAAATTGAGAGAAACTGTCCATCTTCCTGAGAATGACCTGGTTGCTGATGAAGAACTGGCAATGATTAATACACAAGCACTCATGAATAATTTACCAGAAGAAAGGAAGATGAACTATGTAAATGAAAACAGCAATTCAATAGCTGCTAATTTATCTGATGATCTTTCATCCAGAAGTAGTTCCAGGTCTACTGAGAAAGCAAATAACTCATCAAAAAGCAGTTCTGAAGTAGCTGAGACTCTTCAGAAGGACCCAAAGGAACCTGTGGACTCGTTACCAGCCCGCAGAGTGCTACAAAGACAAAAATCCCGAAAATGCTACTAAACACCCATGTACAGTTTTGTATATATTTCAGATTCAAATTATTTTTACACTTTGTACATTAAATCTGGAATCTGTTTAATAAAGCTGTATCTCAAAAACAGACTCATGAAATAACATTTCATCTGCAAAATAGTGTGAAGAAATTATACACTTCTCACAAATATGTATTGTACAATAACATCAGTATGGCTAAGGGTTTTATGACATTTTATAAGCCATTGTTTGGATTCTGACGTGTTCTTAAATTACAGCAGGATCTTGGTTTCAGTCTAAAGCAATCAGTTTTGTTTCCCTTTGCAGCATTAGAGCAGTTGTTTGGCTATCAGAAGAACAGGACAAAATAGTTCTCTTATTTTTACTGTACAGAACATTTTAATTCTGAAATGTTGCTCTGTGTAATTAGGGTCTGTTCTTGTACTTTCCTCCTCACTTTCCACATAGCACTAAAAAAGGTTTAGAGAACAGCTGTGATTATTTGATTTACAGCAAAATGCCACACAAAGGTATTAGTGATAAATCTTTGGTCAGTGTTTCTGAGCTACTCCTTAAAGAAGCACTTGAGGCCACGACATCATGAAAGATAATCAGATCTTTCTTTGATTTTATCGCAAGATCTTTCTGCTGGGGATGAGATAGTGCTTGAATTCATTATTTTGTTCTCATTCATTTCAACAGGTTAAGCTCAGAACTGGAGTTTCTCCATTGGAGAGGGAAATAGTCCTGCTGGACCAGCCACCTCCACATTTCAAATAGCTGCTTGTCAGGTTGCCCTTTGCCCTGCTGCTTCCCACCAGGCATGGTTCAAGGGAGGGAGGATGTTTCAGAACTGAGACCACAAGCTCCCACTCAGCAACCCTTCAGGGGTCCTGTGCTGTTCACTTGGCTCAAGTGCAGGACTGGAGAACTATAATGGGCTGACACGAGCTCGCTGGTAGTTCTGTAAAATTCCATGGAATTACTGCAGAGCCAGAGTCCCTGAGCCCCCAGTTCAGAATTGTTCATAATGATGATGCTTAAAGCTTTAATGCATTTTGAGTAGAAAATGCAATTTATCTTGTACATCTATTGTGTCCTGAAGACAGCTTGACTTTTGCATAGAGACAACATTATACCTCTCGGACTTCTCTGCTAATTTGCTAGATGAATCACAGTTATACCCATATTTCCTAATGTCAAATGGGAGCCGTCTTCATTTCCTCCTGCAAAATACCTCACCACTGTCTGTTCTATAGGCACTGCTTAATAATCCACACCTATGTAAAAAAATTGACAAGTGGAGTTTTAAAAATGTTTCACAAGGCTTCTTGACAAGGCCATAATCATCAGAATATAACAGTATGGATAAAACCACAGCAGAATAGTTTCTTTTCCCACTCATCCATCAGTCAGTGGCTTCTCAGCATTCAGTGGCTGAAGAAGTTGATTTCTCCCCTTAGCAAAAACAGGTTTTTCCTCCTTTCTTAAGTCATTATGAGTTAGTTTGTGTATTTGCCAGCCTTGTGTTTTAGCTGTACAGACCTACTCCTGTAGCCCAGTTCCTACTTAGATGGATTTTCCTGGTGGAAGAGAGATGAGAGGGAGTACAGTTTGTACTGGGGACAGCGATTGGTCATGTAGAGCTGTGAGATCACAGACCAATGCCATTTAAAGATTTGTAAGAAATAAAAGTAATTTAGAAATGTAGTAGAAAAACACAAACAGTTTAGAAAAAATTTAAAACTAGAGACTTTTATACCCTGATAATTAAAACACACCAAAGAATCACCTCTTCAGTTAAATGTCATGTTGTCTGTACGTGTCCTGTGAGGTCTTCTCCTTGAGAAGTCTGAAAGAGGATTGGAATGGGTATCCATGCCATAAGATGCATTTGGTCCACTGTAGCTTCCCTCATCTCTGCTTGGTTTTTCAGAGTGAAGAACACTGTGGAAGGTAACATTGTGCTCATATTGTTCTTTCATCCGTTGTATCTTTTCCCGAGGGACATGATGAATATTTCTTCTGTAGAGTCAAAATTAACAGAAAATACAAGTATTTAGCTGCCCATGTATTAGAAGTTATCTTCAGCTTGCTAAGGTGCCTGATAGGTTGTCCTAAATAGGACGATGGTTCTGATCTATTTCTAGACTGTTTTTGACAAATTGTTGTTTACTTTTACCGACTTCTTAAGAATATTATTGTGACTGCTGAAAAATGTCACACCAATATTTTTTTGGGCAGCCAGGACATAAGAAGTTGACAAATATTTTGAAATGAAAAGAGTTATGTAGAAGACCTGTGTAGTATTTTATAGAGGATTGCTGGGTTTTAGCACTAACAGCTTGTTAGCCTCAGGGTGAGCTTTGGTACATCTGGAGAAATGCAGACAAGTGCTGTAACCAACACAGACACTGATTTATCAGCAAATACAGAGGTCAAAAAATGTTGTTGCTTTGAGCACAAGTAGTAAAAATATCATACATGATGTGGCTCAGGCTCCAGGGCAGATTTGTAAATGACAGGTTTGAGAGGGAGGGGAACACAATGCTCAAACATGCAGGGATTTCTGGATAGAGTAGAAACAGTCACGGTCTCTCCACAACTTAGTGGGAATTGTTTTTGCAAAGACCACCAGGAATTTCTGTTTGTCTGTGAGTTTGCAAACCCTGAATATCTTTGGGCTTGCCATTTAGCTCTGTAAGGCACAGTTTGTGATCTAGAATGTATGTTTATCCTGCATCCATATTTTCAAAACCTTGTGTTGTGCAAATGCTGCACTGCTCAACATGTGTTTTTCCGTAGTGGAATCAGGCTGACAGTAACACAGCAGGCTGCCAGCTGCACATCCCACTTGTAAAGTGGGCACAAGGTCCTGCAAGCAGCCAGAGTCCTGCACACATGTAGCCCATTCCTGGGCCAGTAACCAGCACAAACCCTATTGCTGATAAAGACACCATGTGGAAGCAACCTGCAGCTGTCCCTGAACCATTTACCACAGACCTTCTCCAAAACTGGGTGTATTTGAATTAGTTTTACAGTGCTGCTGTAAAAAGCTGATTTGTTTCAAATATTTAATAACACAAAATACAAGTTATTGAATTACTCAGCCTACAATGAATGATTAAATTCTGCCTGTGCAGCGATGCCCTACAAGTGGCTGGTGCTGGTGAAGCAAGAGCTGACACAGTTGACAGTTAAGGATGTTGCTGTTCTCAGCCCAGAACCATCATCTGCCATGTCCTGCCTCACCCCAGAGCCAGGAGTGCTCTGGGCCACGGCCCTCTGCCGTTTGTCTCCATCAGACACAGAAAGGAGCAGTGCGAACTTTTGACTAGAGTTCCTAGCTGGTACAAAACAAATACATCCATTGGAATGAAGCACCAATGCCTCGTTTTCTTGCAATAACAAGTAGGTTAGCATGTGTTTAGCTTCTGGGTTTGACAGACAGTTCACTGAGGTAAAATTTACATCAGATTGGATAAAGGCTAGGAAATTAGCCTACATGAATTTTTTTCATTGATATAACCATTAACACTGCAGTCACTAATCAAACTAACATACTTAGAGACACATTTGGCTGCCTCTAAATCCCACCACACAGAGTTGATACATTCACTGTATCCCATGTGTGTGTGAGATCTTTACAAAGATCCTCTAGAACCTGGTTTCTTAGCCACACTCAATGTATCATCCCTGCACGCTATAGCAATATTTGTTATGGCTAAATTTTAAGAATAGAAGCCTGAAAATTGTCTCTAGTGCTTAGATATGGTTTTGTGCTCAAACATAAAGACTGCTGCTCAAAATACAGAATGAAAATTGGGGTTTCTGCCCCAAGAAGCTTGCAGCATAAAAAGGCCTTGTTGCTTTTACTACTGCCTGTCTCACTTCAGCACAGTCAGGCCTTTTCAGGGCTGAATTTACTACAGACCAGGTATTCGGTACCAGAAACTTTCCACAATAATCCTTCTGTTGTCATTTACTAGGCTACATTTTAGGGTATGTGAAGAGGAAGAAGACTGTCCTTTATCAGGACACATCTACAAAATGAGAAGCTGTCTGCAATATCAAAGAGAAAAATATGTACCTTGTCAGTTCTTGAACATTGAACTTCCAGGGTGTATCTGGTTCTTGGAACGTAACTTCATATCTATTTTCACGTGCCTGAAGAACACAGAAGTTTTAGATGTGTGGCTGCCGAGCTCAGGAATTGCCAATCTTCTACACCCTCTGAGACTTTACCAGGCTAAGAGATGTTATCTGTGATATGTACCAGAAGCCAGAAAGAGGACAATAACCGTGACTGCCATCACGGTGCCAGTCTGAGTCCCAGCTAGTTCATTTCCTTCTACATGAAGAGATTTGGGTTTCCCGGCAAAACTTGCCTCAGCCTTGCCCCCAGTCCCCATCCCCCATGGCAATAGCATCTTGGCACTTTATCTTTCTGAAGTCACTGATGGTTCAAGAGCTACAGGTTGACCATGCCAGTCTGGAGTTTCTGGAAGTGTGAGGTCAACATCTATCAGTCATGTTATTCCCAGCCATTGAGTCTACAGTACTCCATTTTTTTCAAGGTAAAGGAACATATTTGTGTGTGTGTATATATATGTACATCATGGCTGGGCTTCGCGAATGAAGATTTGGGAAGGCTCTATCCACATTTGCTACAGGCACGTTGGTGACTAATGAGGCCAATACGTGACAGACATATCCGATTGCAAAAGGCACAACAGAAAGACTCCGGTTCTTTCTGCGTTGCCTTTTCTCCTCGAGAGTGATCCTGCGTGTGTTCTCAAAGGAGACAGCAGCATTATAGATGGTATATATGTACATACACACACACAAAACCCCATACATGTACATATATATGTATTAAATACAGTTATTGATTACTTTTGAGTTGGACAAGGAGGCAGGGAAATCTATTGACCTTTTTACATCTTGCCCACCTCTGTCTGTGCCCTCTACTTGCTTCTTATTCACCCACAAGCATTCACAACTCCTGCTAGAGTTGTGAGGCTTTCCAGCACCCACTATTAATTCCTGCCTCTTTTGTGCTAAGCAATACTTAGACCCAAAATTCTTAACTGACAACACCATAACCCACAAAGAGAAGCACAAGTTTAATGTTAGCAGACAGGCCACACTATGCAACTGTACTAAAAATATTGCCATCTCTGCCAGAACTACTGACAAGAGATATCAATGCATCTTTGAAGACTCTGTGTGGTGTATTTTTCACAACTTATGAACTAAAATTGTAAGTCATATCTTGGTATATTTGTCAACAAACAATTGACAGAACTGTTCAATTCATGTCACTAGCAGGGAAGGGGATGACATCCTGATGACCAAGAAGTAACAGGGGAGATTCAAAAGCTGTTAATCTTTTCAAGCCATTTTGCCTTCACTGAGTTATAGAGCTGAGTAGCTAAAACAACTACACTGGCACCTCTGCCCCTATTTTGTCATAATATCCACAATATCCACTACAATTAGAGAAAAATGGGGAAAGTGAAGTAATTATTTTTAGCCATATTAAGAACCATTTCAGTCAGATCACCTTGTAAATGTCATAGCTGAGCATATAAAAGCAATAAATCAGAGATTTCCCTACCATTATCACATACGGCTTCATTTCCCAAGCATGGATGTTGGTATTGTCAATAATAACCGGGCTTTTCCCATTCTTCATTGCTTTGCGTGCTGCAATGTAACACATTAAGTGTATCAAATAACAGACTGATCCAGGCCTTACTAGCCCCAAAGTGTCCTTTCTTGCCCACTGCTCACATACTTGTTTCCCCACCAGACTTGGGTTTGCAGCCACTGCCCAAACGGGAGCCAAGGTCAGTGCCCAGCTGGAGCTCTCCCAGAGGAGGTGGTGCAGCTGCTGGCTGTGCTGTGTACCAGCTGTGTTCTACGAAGCTCTTGTAGAACATACTTGGAACAGCTAAAAATTACTGTTGTTTGCAGGAGATACCTGTTATATCATCTCAAAGTATGTTTGTCACTGCCAAAATTTCCTTCAAAACACAGCCACAAAAGGATGTTACATTGTTATCTCTGAAGTAGAGACCTGGGTTGTTTAATTCTCAAACTCATAACTCAGTTTCCGAGTTTTCCTCCTATCACTACCTCCCCACCCCATAACACCCCCTTCCAGGTCAGGACAGACATCTAAGTAGTTCAAGTCATAAGGCTGAGGTGCCTACAGCTGCAGAGAGCAGCTGCTGAGCTGGTATCTGTATGGCACCTGTTCTTACCAAGTTTCAGCAGTGCTTCCTAACAGTCACTGCTTTACTTTCTAAAATAACATCTATCAACCTCAGCAATTTTCATTTACGAATTTCTCTCTAGTAAGTCAGAAGAAATAAAATCAGAAGTGGTAAATGTATTTTTTCAACCAATACCCCATGAACTGCAGTGTATGACATCACGTGAGATATTTTATTTTGGGGGCTAAGTTTAAAGACAGACTGCACAACCCCTGGATGAAGTTCAGTCACCTCTTTTTTGGTTCCACTAGTGTGCATCCTCTAGGAAGTCAGGCTCAAACATGTATACACCATTTTCAATGAAGAAGTCATCAGTACTAAGAACTACAGCACTGGGATAGTCACGTTTCAGTTGTCTGCAGAAAAAAAAAGATGAAGGAAGGATTAGTATATGGTAACACATGCCTTTAACAGAGACCATTAAATCAAGAGCCATTTGAATGCTCTGCAAATATGCACAGTGCTTCATTTGAAAAATTCCAGCTTGGAAGGATCTGAAAACACTGCAATCAGTAGATGGACACATAGGAGGAAATAAATGGAGCTTGAAGGCATGGCCTTGATTTCTTTAATTCAGCAAAGAAATCTACACTGGACTACCAACATCCAAGTCCTTAATGATATTAATATATTCAGTCTTCTTTCTCAGTTATATGAGAATTTTCTGAGTTGTCTGAGAATGTAGGATTGTAAAGACAAAAAAAAAACCCCAACAACCCAAACCTGCTTATCCCATGGAAGTTGGTGTCAAAAGACAATTTGACCACGGGAATTTTTCTACTAAGATTTTAGAAGATAAGGAGGAAGAATTTGTCATTTAGTTAAGATGGCCAAGAGTACCATCAGTTTGAGGTTTTTTTGGCTAGAAAGCAGATAGCACTTTTTATTTTATTTATTTATTATTTGCAAATAAGTATCTGAATGATAAGTCAATAATTTGTGTTATTTGTTGCAGTTTTATAGTTCTTGTACTTATCCCTGTTTCACTTAATCTTCCTCTTGTAGAATTGAGTAATTTTTATATCTTTACAGCTTTTAAATGTGTTTTTATAAACAAATCTGAATTGCCAGATTGGCTATAGATCCATAAAACAGACCGCTGTGGTCAGTGGCACAGGGCAAACCCCCTTCCCTTCGCACTGATGTGTGTCCCACAGCGATGCTCCTGCAGACCTGGGATGCTGTAAACTGACCATCTGCCTCCAAGGCTGTGACTGGCTCTAGGAGGTGGAAGTGCTGGCTTGTGAGGTGGTTTAAACATGAAGCATTCCTCTGCCAGTCCTTAGAGAGCATAAAAAAATCTTAATATGAAATTGTATTCCCATTTTTCTAATTTGTTTGTGTCCATAGACAGAACTGTCTATTTTTTTTCAGTCACAGAAGTGCTGGGGGAGGAGGGAGTTTCTGCAAGAAGTCAGGGAGAGCCCATGGCATCATCTCTCTAATCTATGTCTCCCTAAGGCCCAAACTGTCTCAGGAAAAGAAAGGTCAACCAAGAAACCTTGTGGCTCTCAGATTTGAATGCTGCTGCCCTGCTATCTCACATCTCACATGGTCTCCAGTCCCTGTGACTCATTTCAGCTTCCCTAATAAAATGCTTTTCTTCCATCCTCACAAGCTGTAAAACAACTATTTCTCAATGTCTTATCTACATGAGCAACAGCAAGGGAAAAGGTGCCTTTAGGTTATCAGCAAAAAAACAGACACACGGACAGAAAAAGCTTAATTCTGTCATCTAGCTCTGTCTTAACCATTTACTTACCAGTTTTACCCTAATCTGCCTGCAAGCAGCAATTCTTCACTAGGATTGCGGGTTGCATTTAGCTAAATAAAGGTCAGCTTCTGACTTTGCTCAGTCTCCACTGTAACTCCTATCATCTGCTGATTAATTGATATTATTTTGCTGTAACAACCCTCCCAGAGAATAGAGGCTCACTGCTGACTGACAGCCAGGACTGGGCCGTGCCCACTGTTAAGTGTCATTTAGCACCTACATGTTGTTATCTTCTAGCTCCAAAGACACGCTTTAATAGCATAATTACTCTGGACAAACAGATTTAAGAAAAGACATGCTTCAAACTGTTAGCAAACACTCAAATTATATTTGCTTTCATTTTAGTCCTAGGCAAAGAATTCTTACCATGAAAAGCCTGGCAACACCTAATGCTTATCTGGTTACTCCTGTGCTCATGGCGAGGCTTCGCGAACGAAGATTTGGGGAAGGCTCTATCCACATTTGCTACAGGCACGTTGGTGGCTTATGAGGCCAATACTCCTGTGCTAAGAAACTGATATATTCAGCTCTCACTTCGATTCAGCACCTCACCTTTCTCACTGCTTTACCCATTGCAATTTCTTCTCTAAAAAAATGCTTGCTAAAATGCCTGTCATCTCTCTAGCTACTAATAGGCACATAAAATTGTACACATTAATAAAAGATCTCAAGACTATTTTTTCTTGCTCAGTATTTCTTTTAAACATGTTCTCAAACAGTGCAAATTTTAAAATAATTTTCTTAGCACATACTTTACTGAATTTTCAACACATATATGCACACACATGAGAGTTTTGATATTGACCCTTAAGCAATCTAAACTGTATGTGATTATCTGTAAACTCAGTCTAACTACCCTGATACTGATAATAAAGTAAATAAAACTTGTGTGTCAAAGGAGGAAAAATATGGCACAAAATATCCTAAGAGCCATAAATTACTTTCACATTTGCTATATTTATACCAAACAAGCTCCTACTAACAGCAACATAAGAAAACATTAAGTGTGATAAAGGTGTTTTACCTTCTGCTTATTTTGCTGGTTTTAACTTTTAGCTTTCTAAAAAAAACAGTCACTGAAGTTTACCACCATTTCTGTAATCCCCTCCCTACTGCCCATGAAGTTGACAAAAATCCTGTTTCTTCTGTCCCTTATAATTTCAAAAGGCACCCAAACCTCTTTAATGTGTTTCTTAAGAAATAAGCCTTGTACAATCTTCACAGGACTGCAAGGTGGTTTAGAAGACAGGTTTGCATAATCACACCAGGCTCCTAATCACTGTATGCAATTAAAATGCCTGTATTTTAGAAAAATATACATTAGCTATGCAAAATAGGAGGGCTTGTGACCACTGTTATTAATGCATAAGTCTTGAACAGCCCCATGTAAAAAGAAATTACCCACTGCTGTCGGATCAGTAAGCATAAAGCATACTAAAGAGGAAAAGAAGAATGGAATCTCTTTGCAAGATCAAAGGATACATAGGAGCTATATTACCATTTTATAAAGAAACCATTGAACTTGAAGCACTGTGTTGTGACAAGCAGCATCTGTCAAAGGTTCAGTAATAATTTGGGAAATGTAATTACACAGTGATTGCACAATCTCTCCATCTTGCTGCAGTGGATACAGAATGTGTTACACTCTGTATCGTGCTAAAGAAAAGTTTGCTGCTGTTTCAGAAAATACAAAGGATAAGAAAATAAGAAGAGCACGGGGGACGTTTGCTTGCAACGAATCTCCTCAACCCCCTTCTACCCTTTCTGCACAGTGGAGCAGTACTGTGTCTCATTAGACTGGCTGATACAGTTGAGGAAAACAAAACGTTCAGATGCTTCAGTTCTTCAGCTCTGACACAACAGTGGTAAACCTCATGATCTACAGCAGGGCCTGGGAACTCATAAAGACCTTGGAAATATGAAGCTGCAGAGGCAGAAGCTTCACTGCCTGCCCACACCAACCCCTCTGGCAGCCCAGGTAGCAACAACGCTTCTGAACAACACAGTGCCTTGGCTGGTGTTGGTGGACACTCATCTGCTGTCTCTCCCTGGCCACATTTACGATGGCTGCTGAGATCAAAAGAGGAGACTCTTTCTGTTGAAAATACACCTTTGTTTCTGTTTGACCACAGTAGCATTGCAACAGCTACCCCACTGAAGAGACAGGTGGGTTAAAGATGTCTCCTGTGTTATTCATCTGAAGATGTGTTCCCAGGATTTATAACATTTTTTAAGTCCCTTTTTTTCCCTAAAGAGCATCTTCAGTGCTTTCAAACAATTATTTCATATTCTAACTGTAACAATTTTATAATAATTATTTTATATATAATTTTATAATAATGTAAACAAAAATAATCATTGGAGATAAAAAAATTCCATAACTGTATTCCATAGGCTCTCATGCTTTTTCATCAGAGAATTTGAAAATAAATTTCTGATTTGAGCCTGGTAAGCAGATTGGAAGGAACATTATCAGAAGGCAGCAGGATGCTACGTCTGGCAGATCTCAGAGCCAGTATATTCTCATACACCTTCCAATGTCCTGGAGACCAGAACATATACATACTGATACCACATGCAACCACTTGCTCTGGTCACTCTTCCCAACACTTTATGTTGCATTCTGTGGCATTTAAAAGGTGTTTAAAAGCTTTCTGTTTCAGCAGAAAAGCAGAACTGTGAGATCTGGTGCACATGCTCAGCTTATCACCTGTCTACTGTGTTTGAACAATTTCTAGTGCCCAGAGGACTTTGCCCAGATGAGCCAGTCAGGTGTTGCTTGTAAAGCACAGACACGCCTTTGTGTCTCACCCACGGGGGCTCAAGCCATGGCTCCATTTTGTAAAGAAACAGGATGATATTACATTTGATCAAGACATTCAGGAGACTCACCTGAAGTGGTTTTATACAAGGGGAAATGTTTGCAATAACAATGCTGTCTGGAAGCAGGAGTTGCAGAGCTGAAGTCCATGAACCCGTCAGAGCTGCAGCTCTGCAACAGGGTCAGGTGCTGGTCAGGGTCGGGTGCTGGTTACATGTCAGGCCAGGACTGGAGGTGCTGGAATGAACCAGGCAACCACAGCAGGGAGAACTGGACAAGACGTGGATTACACCAAGCAGTGATGCCTCAGTGCCAGTACATTTTTTCCCTTCTGTTCTGGAAGATTGCTCCCTTTGTGGTTCATAAGGGAGTACAAGAACAACCTCATTTTGAGCTATAAATCAACAGCAGTGGCTGAAAAGTTACATGTTTGATCATGCCCAGCTTAATGCTTGAGTTAAACTGCTAGATAAAGGCTTACGTGTAAGTTGAGCAATGTATTGTAGAAGAGTTGGAAGTGCACCTACCATGCAATAAAGAGCTTGCTGGGGAAGCAGGTATGAGCTTGTATGCAGCTCATTTTACTTTTTGGAGGCATTTTTGGAAATATACCTGCTACTGAACCTCAGTTAACTGTTTTCTCAGTAGTTGCCTCAGTTTGATCATAAAACCTGTATTGTGAAGTCGAGGACAATGTGTTCAGGAGGAGTGTGTCACACCTGCCTGATGGAGACTGCTGGAGATGTGACTCCAGCTGGCCCTCCTCCTATGGGCTTCTGCTGGTGTGGTGAACAGTTACAGCGAGGTGGTTGGGGTCACCCAAAATACGTGGTTCAGGGAAGGATATTCTTAACAGTGAAGCAATTGGAAAGTTTTGGAGCTTGGTGGTGAGCAGACCAACTCCTCATTCTTCAATAATCACAAGTGGATCCTTTTTTGTCTTTAATAGAAATGCAAAACCAGATCTGAACTGATCCATGCCAATGTCAGGCTGCTCTGAGCTGGGAGAACAACTGGGGTTGGGAAATAATTTTAATGAAGATGCTGTACCTAAGTCTTACAAAGCTGTGTCCAAACTGAGCTTGGTGACATTGAAAAGTCAGGGAAACAAGTCATGGATCTGAGTTTGTTCCTTAAGATTTTGTGATGAACTGAAAAGGGGCCTTTCTCTTGGAGATATGACTGGGCTGTAATATCACCAGTGCACAGTTTGTGACTTCTGAGCACTGTAAAGATCTGCAGGTTGTAACTGAAATGCTGGCTGATATGAAGAATGAATGAATGAATGAAGGGAAGTGTGTATGAAAGCATCAGAAGAAACAACAGAGCAAAGGCTAAAACAATGGTACACACTGACAGCCAAGAACATAATTAACAGCAAAAAATCTGGGAAAGGTGCTGCTTACACCCCCCCAAGGCCAGCACTCAGCTGAGGCCCAGCACCAGGGACATGTTGCTGGAAGACTCATGCTCTGAGAGCAGGAGGATGGCCAGCGGGTCACATCAGCCCATACACACCTGCCTCCTTCCTCTCATTCCAGAAGTAGCACGGAGCCTGAAAAGACACCCAAAATGGAAAACTAAAATAATGGGAAAAAAAATCCCCAACACCTAAGATTCATGAAGCACCAAGTAAGCTGAATTTGGAGGCAAAAAGATGGCAGCCATAGAAGCTGATGGCTGCGAGATGGCACACCAGACCTGACCAAAACTCACCCTGTCACTACCAACTGAGAGCAATCCAGCAGAGGAAGCAAGGACGGGACAGGTGAAGGCCCTTGACCGCTCTGATTTTGGGCAGACCACCTGTGCACATGCATCTTGGTGCACATGCATCTTGGTGCCTGCAGGTATTTAGCTGTGATACTGTGAGTAAAATCTGAGAAAATAAATTTGAATCCACAAAATGAGTTTCTGGAGGGCTTTTGCAAGTAAACAACCACCTTCCTCCTCCAGTAGGATCTTACAATGAGCTTTGTTGCTGTCATTTTCTGCAAACATTGCCTTGCTTGGCACATTGCATTTACCAACACCACAAGCTACACAGTGTGGGAATAACAAAAGAAGTTTTTGGGCACAGTCCTTCCGTATCTGGTCAGAGTTAATGGAGAGGTATTAAATGTTGCTCTAATGGCTGTCCTTCAATCTGTGTACTTCTGAACAGCTAAATGCAATGATACGATTAACAGGGGCTGGAAACAGAGTAAGATACTCAAACATTCATCTCACAGGGAATTAAAACAATACTTACACCTGATTTTGTAATTCTGTCATTAATAATTAACCTTGTGTTTTGACCTAAAAAATACAAGTGGGTCAGTTACCTATGCTGCCTGAGAATATGGCCCCAAACCATTACGTTCTTACTTTGCTATGAGAAGACCCAACCCCTCTGAAGGAGCAGGCCTGCACTTACACAGCCTCTTACAGGAAAGACGTGCATTTTGGGTGTGAGTAAAACACGGCATTTGGCCATTTATAAAATAACTTCACTTGCCAAAGTGCAGTGAGGCAGAAGGCCCAATGTGACAGGGAAGTACTGCACTGAGAAGAGGAAACTGTAGATGAACACAGTGTATCACTCAGCTTCAGGCTGCCACCTCTCACAGCAGAGCCCTTCCTGTGGCAGCCCATGATCCCAGCATGGGTTCCTCACCCCAGCAGAGTAAGAAGACAGTGAATGTTCCTCTTTTGATAGAGAGTGGGTGGCACTGGGAGCTGTGTGATACCAGACTGTGAGATTTTGTGATACGATATTACAGCTACACTGTGTCATGCTGACTGCAGTGCTGTCTCCCAGTACTCCACACTGGGTTCTTCCACCTATTTTTAATCAGTCTTTGAGCTGTCAGAGAGTGGACTGGTCTCCTCTGCCCATTTTACACAGCCCTACAGCTCTGATCAGGAGTGCAGGACATCACAGAAACAGAAGTCAGAGTTGTCAATTTTCAGTCAGAGAGGGGGAGTGCTTTACTGTGTTCGTGATTATCCGAAAAAAAGCGCCCAAACCAAACCAAAAAAACCTACGACAACAAAAAAAGAATACCAAAGAAAAAAGCCCCACCACCAATCTGACGCTTTTTAGAAAAGAAACAACAACCACCTTGGTCGGAGTGTTCAGTCCAACTTCCTAGAAGCTTCCCTGCAGTACGCTCGCTGGGAACAGCAGCACCCACGGTCCCACGGGCAGGACACTCAGACCAGCCACAGGTACCAGGAGCAGCGCAGCCTGGAGCGGGCCTGGAGCCGGGATGCGGAGGGTTTCGAGCGGCTGCCACCGGTCAAGGCTCTCGGTTTCCCCCGAGCCCCCAAACCAGCCCCGGTGCCCCTGCGGGGTCTGCAGCGAGGGTGCCCCGCTCTCCGCCGCGGCGCGGGGTCCGGGCGGGCACTCGGCTCCCGAAGCACTGCCCGGCTCGGCCCCTGCGCCTGCTCCGCTCCTGCCCCCGCAACCGCACCCGATACCCTGCGGTGGGGCCGGGCGGCGGCCGGAGCCAGGGCGGGCGACACTCTTACCTGGCCAGGGTGCTCTTCCCGGCGCCCGGCAGCCCCCGCAGCAGCACCAGCCTCCCGCCGCCGCGGCCCCGCTGGGGCCCCAGGCTGAGCCCCCCGAGGGCGCGGAGCAGCCGCTCGTCCATCGCCGCGGCCCCGGGCGCGGGCTCGGCGGGGAGCGGGGTCGGGGCCGGCCCAGGACGGGGGGCCCGTGGCAGCCGCTCCCCATCCCGGCCCCCGCCCCGACCCCGGGCCCGGCGCCGCGTCCCACGGCCCCCGCGGGCGGGCGGGAACCCGCGTCCCTCCATGGCCCGGGCGCCTGAGCCTGTGCCCCGTGAAATCGAAAGCTGCCTTAAGGAGAGAGAGACAGGCGAGGACGGGCATCTGCGGCTCGTACCGCCGAACTCTCAGCTGCGGCACTCGCTTTCGACCCGGAACTTTAGCCCAAAGATACCATCTTTGATTAATTAAAATCAGAATTAATCTCCAAATTCTCAAAGGCGGGAGAACACAAGCCAGCGCCGAAAGTGTTCAGTCTCATGTGCTGCCTGTACGTACTGCGAACTACAGAGCAGGCATGAGAGGGAATCATCAAGGGGATTTAGCTATACAACCACCCTGCACCGCACGGATGACCCTGTGCATCACGCTCAGTACACCACCCTATTTTTTTTTTTCAAACATATTATCACATGAGAAAGTAAAGGAAGTTTAACAAGATTTATTTCCTCTGAAGAAAACCTGATCTGCATTAATTCGATCACTACAGAAGCAAAAGAAATTATAGTTTCTAGCAAGCCCAAAAATAGTTGGTGTGGTACCACACTCTCCCTCTTAGAACCACACACGGCGTCAATCCCAGTTTGGCTAGAAGCCAGCCTCAGCTATGCCACAGGGACACACTGCCACCAAACCTCAAGGCTGAAGCCTTAGGCTCTGATGTTTGCCAATAGTGCTAAGGAGAGGGTTCACATACAGGGAGAAAGCTTAGCTCCTGGGTACATGGCACACCAACGCTAACTGAAGCTGAAGCAAGTGGGGAAAAAAGTGGCAGGAAAAAAAAGATACATAAAATTTGAAATTCATAGATACTGTGGAGGGGAGAATTAAAGTAAACTTAAATTGACAACAACCTCCTAGGAAGCATAACATGATTTGTGCATATTACAATACTGCGAGATTTTGAAAACTGTTTTTATTTTAAGCCTTCTGTAAGGTCATTATCCAGTAAGAGAAAATAAAGGCATTCAGATTTCTGTCCCAGTAAACGGAAGCAGGAAGACAGGACTAATCCTTGAGTGACATTTTCTTGAAATCAAACTAACTTTTCTGCTGCCACTGGTACCTCAGCTAAGTCTGAAGCTGCAGTTAGCACTGGCATGAATTACCTTCCACCTCCCCATTACATTTTGTATAATGTTCTGCTGGTAGGGGAGCAGCACATTCCCAGCCAACGAAAACACACATATGTACTTGGCAAATGTATTAAAACAGTGTGGCCAGTAAATTTCACCAATGGTACAACATTAATTTAGAAATGCATACATTGTTGACTGCTCACATGTAGATGCAGTATTTAGGTAGAAAGTGGAGACACACTGGCAATTTAGGCTGTAGTGGAGCTTCAGCATGAGTGCAGTCAGGTCCTGGATCATCAACTGGTGCATAATGAAACAGGTGCAGGGAAAGGTGAGGAAGAGGAGTTGAATGAACAAATGGATAAATATTCTGGATCTGCAAGCTGCGGAAGTGGGAAATATTTCTGATAAGTAGACACAACCTAAGTTTCCTTGCTTCTCTTCTTCTCATTCATCTTTCGTCACACTTTTCACTGTTAAGTGAGGTGACAGTTGTCTTTTATGTCTCTCCTTCTCCCTACAAAGAAATGTCCAGCCTTATGGATGCCTCATAATTGACAGAGGTTGCTCTTTAATAGTTAATTATAATTTAGCTCACTCTACATATGTAAATATTTCTAATACCTCTAACAGAAACATCAAATCACTAGTTACTAGTGCTAGTTATACATCTTCTCAGTCTAACACAAACTATATAGATCCTTCCTCCAGTGTATTTGAATCAGGTCTACAGTGAAATTTTCTCATTTCTGTAGTCCCAAATGAGTCTAGCTGAAGGGAAGCATAAAGGGAAGCATAAAACCTCATTTCAGGAGAAAAGAAGGTAAGTTGTGTACCCGTGGATGAATGATTAGGAGTGACTGATGAAGATTTATTTCACTTGAGGTTGTAAAGGGACTAGGATGTAATTATGACTGACAGGGTGAAAGGCAGAAGCAGGCACATGTAACAGGCACCTTTCCCTGCAGGCAAGCATCACTGTGTGGCAACATCTTGGATTCCCACCCAAGTAAATTAAATACCAGAACTTGAAGCTCACACCCCATGGCAACAAATGCTTCTGGTCTCCACTCTCAAACTGTTTATACCACACTTGAGGTTATATAGAGAAAGTATAAATCCCAAATGGCTTCAGAAAGTGACATTTTGCCATACCCAAAGTCATCTCAATTTTGATCGTTATTACATAGACAGAAAGGTTGATACTGGGGGGCTGTGGGAGAGAAGACAGACAAAGAAAAAAAAAATCTACAGTGGTTTCTTTCTTCCAGGTTATCCCTCACATTTAAAATCCTTAGTGGCCAACTGAAGTCCTTCCATGGTGGAATCAAAGTGAGAAGTTTCTGAAATAAAAAGAGAACAGGTTCTGCTGAAATACCACAACACACAGGCTGCAACAAGACTTTTAACAGCTGAGACCTGAGAAAGAAAATCCAGATTGAGAAGAGTTCACCTGTCCGACATTTTTTAAAGTCTCTCATGCTCAGCTGTTGGTTATTTCTTTAAAAAGTTAAAAAGAAGGGAGAGGAAGAAGATAATAGAAAGCAAAGGGAAAATAAAGAAACGTAGGGAGAATGGAAAAGGAAGAGAAGAATTTGGATGTCAAAACTAGAGGCAATAAGGACCTAACAATCTCAAGGCTAAGAAACAGGGAGAAGAGTAACACAGTGGTTTTTTTTTTCTCTATACTTCACAAACCCTATATAATGAACAGTTGTTCAACCAAAACTAATATTGTACAGCTACATCTCATAATTGTTTTGTTACAATATGAATTGTTTACCCTGTTACATTCACTCAGGACCTCACAGACCTCCAAGTTACAGAGTTCATATGAGACACCCACACAACCCAATCCAATGGCTGGTCTTTTCTGAGAGCTCCAGAAACACTGCTGTGGGCAGCTCTTATTCCCCCTAGGTAATTATACTCTCTGCTTAAGTCATTTTTGGGCCAGGTTTTCTGATAAGCATTGAAAAAAGTAGGTGAGGTTTTCTGCTCATAATTCTGTCCACTTTTTTATGCTTCATTTTGTTTACTATTAGTGGTTAAATGTCAAAGGACAGAGAAACTTCTTTTTTTTATTATTATCGTGGTATCAAAGTACCAACTAAAAGAGGTTTGGCCATGGGATGATATTTTCTGTGGCAATACTGGAGGACTGCTTTAGTTTGCTTTGTATCTTCTAGATTAATTTCTTCATGCTAGACAAAAGACAGTCCTGCCTGACCCAGCTATATGTTCCTATTCCTTTGCCTTAGTCCTGCTATCTCATGGACTCTAGATGAGCTCCATGGTCTAGACAAAAAACTTTTTGGACATCTTCATGCATTGGATTATGGAGTTGAACAGCTTCACTCTGACTGCAGAAGCATTGCATGCAGCAATGGGAAGTGCTGGGAATAGCACAGCCAAAGAAAGGAGGAGTGATAACGCACAGCACCAAGAGATTTGTCTCATCAAAGCCACACCCTACCAGGCTGTTGTGGAAGAAGTCTTCCTGCAGGGAATTCCTGAACACTACTCTTTCAAAAAGAAACATGCCAGCTTTTACTTTGCAGTGGTCTTGCAGATAAATGCTTACACTGACATCAGGTTCTGTCTTCTTGTGCTACATTTGTATTGTGTTTGGCACCTGTGAGTCCTTGTCTAAGAAAAACTTACAGGCCCCAAAATAATGCTGTTTTCAATGATCTCAACATTTTTTAAACTGGGAACTCCTGCTTAATCTGCAGAACAAATACTGATGTGCTGCCAATGCTTCAATAAGGAACTCTCACAACAGCTTGAGATTAACCCTGTATTTTCACAGAGGAACACCACCACTGTTCACTCTCCCATTGGAATGAAAACACTCTTACACAACATGAGTACAGAAGAACAATCATCTGGCTAACAGCTTAAGTTGCACTTGGCCAGTAATGCTCAGTTTACTTTCCAATCTGAAGGGACTGAATGATCATATTACCTCGCCATTTATTTCCTATGTTTTTAAAAGTTTTCAGTAGAAATGTCTCAATTTTCTTAGCTTTTTTTTCCCCCTGGAATTTGATGAAATCAAATCCATTTCAACATTTACAGTTGTCCACTTGAGCAGTTTTACAACCACTCTGGGACATCATCCTTGGCGAGTCTGCTTTAATCAAGACAGCAGAGGAGAATTCCCTCATGGTGAGGAAAGACAACCTTATCCCTCAAAACCAGGGGCACCATCAATGAGAAGAACTCACCTGCCTTTTACAGTACCTACTCATGTAGACTTCAGAGGACCACTGGAATACCCACGTGGGTTCTGGCTAGGGGTCTGTGTTACCCTGTATCCTGTGCCTGACTGTGAGCATGATCCGACTGAAAAACCTAAAACATGCTTCTTCCTTTTCATATACTTTTCTTAATTTTTTTAACATCCTACATTTGTATGATTAAAAATCTTAAAAGCAGCCCTTCATCTGAAGGTTTGGTTGCATGGCATGTGGTCCCTGGTATCAGAGCTGACTGACACCCAACCAGGGTGCCCTGCACGTCCTCTCCTTGTATCTGTAGCAGCACAGCCTCGTCTGCTCCCTTGCCACAGCTTTGGCACTGAATTGGGCTTCACAGCTTATCTAAACTTGTCAGTCCAGCAGAAAACTACCCATTTGTTTCCTGCAGGGTTAGCAAGCTAAATTATAGCCTTCATGTCAGCCAGGAAGTGTTGGAGCTGATCTCTGAAGCAGGGCTGGCAGGAAGGGCACTTCACATCTTTGGCAGCAGCAAGCCATTCACGGTCTGAGAAGGCAGATCACAGC